CATGCCTTACTCCGCTACAGAAAGCGCTTGGAGTGGGCTCCAATAACGGGACTGAGCCCATTAAGTTTTGCAGCATAAATAACGTTTCCTTGTCTTTTTTCTCTACGTGTACCTGGCGCTAATCTCACGCGATCGCACTGTCCACCGATGTTCTTATGCGTCGTCTTTTTCTCCTATACTTCTCTTCTGGTCGCGGCCTTGATTCTATAAGGTCCGTCTTGATGACGTTCTTCCCCCTCTTCTTTTGGGTTTCTCCTGGGCTGGGCTTCAAAGGCCACTGCTTTCCTCCTCCAACGATCCTGTGGTCTTTCTAGCATTTGTCCATACCACCGTTGTCCTTGCGCCTTTCCTGTGACAGAGGTAACCCGGTATGAACTCTGGAAACCTTGTTCATGGCGGGTACCCGGCTTGGAATCCATTCCCACGGAGAAGTTGATTTCAAAAACACGGCAAATCACTCTTTCTATGAATGTTCAGAAAAATGGCCTTAATAAAAACAGATGGGTTGTTGAAAAATCTGGTTATCATAACCGGATCGGTCAGCAAGTTGTTGTTGACAGCTGGCCAGACTGGATAACGTCGCATCGAATCATCGTTCCAGTGTCGTTGAGGACGAACTAGGAAGATTGGCCCACTTTCTTGAGATGTTTTTTATGCCAAAAAGCCGCAAAAAAGGTCCAAAAAATTAACAATAACATTAACAAAAATTTGGATATGCTTTTCCATATCCGAGTTGAAAAAAAGGTAGATTTGATCTGTTCTGGAAAATTGCTACGCTAAAATGCTCACTATTGAATCTTCTGATAGAAAGAAAATATTTTTAAGGAGTTTCCAAGAAATTGATAATACTTTAACAATTACCCCCAAGTATAAGAATTTTCAAAATTGTTTTGGGATTTTATTGTTATATATTAACCATACATTCCATATATATCAATATTATTATAAAATATATATTATAGTATAGCTAAATTTACGGCTTCTGATAATCCTTGACTTAAAGGAGGAATTCACGATTAGAATGAAGGTCGAAGAAAGGGAAACTGACCTAGTTGAGGGACCCACGGACCTCCTGAGGGTGCGAACTGACGCGCAATTCGCATGGAAAAATTTGACCTCGGCGACCTATCATGCCTCAAAGCTGGCGGGTCCGGCGATCTCCGCCCACCGATCATCTGATCACTCGCCGTAGTTCAATACGTGGCGAGTGATTAGATAGCTGAGAGAGCGTAGTGTTGAAGAGGGCACAGCGATGAGAGTCGCATCAATGCTCGAATCAACGGGCAAGGAAGGGGTACCATTTCTCGGGTTCTGGGCCGTTTCTCATGGTTCTTCCTTCTTTCGTGTACCACTCACCATCCCTAGGTTAATTTGAAATGGGTTGCTTTTTCATCGTGAATTCGTCCTTTAAAGGACGAATTAAAGCGAGAGATTGCGATAGGATTCTGTTGTGCTCATAGTGGAAGTGAAGATGCTGAATAATGCCCTAGTAGCGAAAAAAGCAAAGAAATCCGTCAAAAACGCGCAAAATGGGACCACTTCCTCTGCCCGTTGACCTCCGATAATGGACGAGTTGGCAACCAACTAAGAGGTCGTCGGCACTCGTTAAACCATAGCTGCCATCATACCACCAGAGATCATACCTTGATTGATATAGCATTCCATGAGAAAAAAATTGGATACGCGCTCGAAGTGGCATACCTTATCAGAATGATAATCGAACAGCGATCTGCTGAGGGGCGGAGCACAGGCGGAGGCGGAGCTCAGAAAGGATTGGCAGCCCCAGGGCGCTGCAACGAGCGCACCTTTAGTCACAAAAAGGCCACATCTCGATTCCTTTGGGCTCTAGCTACTGCTTGAAGTGCTGCTCGTTCTTCCATGCTGCACAGAAATTTTATCGTAATTTCTCGCTTTAAGAAGAAAGCAATTCAAATTAACCTAGGGATGGTGAGTGGTACACGAAAGAAGGAAGAACCATGAGAAACGGCCCAGAACCCGAGAAATGGTACCCCTTCCTTGCCCGTTGATTCGAGCATTGATGCGACTCTCATCGCTGTGCCCTCTTCAACACTACGCTCTCTCAGCTATCTAATCACTCGCCACGTATTGAACTACGGCGAGTGATCAGATGATCGGTGGGCGGAGATCGCCGGACCCGCCAGCTTTGAGGCATGATAGGTCGCCGAGGTCAAATTTTTCCATGCGAATTGCGCGTCAGTTCGCACCCTCAGGAGGTCCGTGGGTCCCTCAACTAGGTCAGTTTCCCTTTCTTCGACCTTCATTCTAATCGTGAATTCCTCCTTTAAAACGGCTTCATGGCTCAAACATGTAGCAAACGGTTTGGGAACGATGGCTCGTATCAGGAAACTTCCCACCCATGGCTGTTTGACCGGATGGAGCATTGATATCTATGATTTCCTTGAACCTTTCAGTTTACTAAATAAGCGTGAACGATGACTTCTCATTTCACCCTGACCTACTTACTGAACTGCGCTCGTTAAATTGCGCTGTGCTTCATTCGAATTCGTGCTATGCTACTAGCTCTAGGCACAGATCTTACCATGTCATCCAACTCTTTTTCTTTGTGCTATACATATACGCCTGAGTATAGCCTAAAATTACTAATAATTAGTGAATAAACATGAAAGTAAAGATTCGAAGTGGAACGTAGCTTATTCTAAGCCCTGATTCAACAGATTCGTGGAACGTTTGAAAGAAGTATTAGTAGTGACTGTGATGATTCCAATCATCCACTGGAAGCTGTTAATAAGCTCCAATATTCGACCACTTTCGCAAATTCAGTTGCAGGGTCTTCTCTCTGGCATTTGGGTCTACCTGCTTCTCACAAGCACAAGAGACATTGTTCTAATGCGTTGACTTTTCGCTCCACCTTCTGGGCTCTTCTTACTCCAGGCAAGTATTTTCCCCCAGATATAAGCTCATTCAGAAGAGAGTGAGCACCGAAGTTATACGCAAATTAGCGATCTTCCTGTCGGTGTCACTAAGGCCGATGTCAGACTTTGCGAATCGCGCGATTCGCTAGCGTCTGCGGTCGCGTCGCGGCCAGTGAATCACTCAATTGGCTGGTACCGCAACGCGACCGCGGACGCTAGCGAATCGCGCGAATCGCTAGTAGCGATTCGCAAAGTCTGACATCGGCCTACAAATGCGCGTTCCACATCGACGCGATTTCTGCAGTAACAATCATACTATAGGTTATGCCCACAATGAGGCTACCCCCGCTGTCCAGGGCAGCAGTCCAAAAATAGATGAGCGTCGCAGCCTGTGCCTCGAATAGTGGGAGGCGAGTACGCAATTCATCGTAATAATGCCGTCGCGCCATGTATACCGTGAGCTACATCAGAACATTCTGATGTCACGCTTACTTCGGTGCCTCGCTGTTTGTCAAACAGCTTAAGTCCAGTATCTCAGCCGATTCCGGCACACGGAACAGCACAAAAGATCGATGGCCTAAACTCCGCGCTCGGCTGTACTACAAAAAGATCTTGTCGCTCAGGCATCGCTATCAGGTCTGCGCTATACAGCAGGACAGATGGGCAACTCATCTGAACAGGGCGCGTGCGCGTTTCGGCAGTCTTCGTCGCAGGGTACCGCCATTGTTGGGAATTTCACAAAAAATTTTCTTTAGATGCTTCCTTCCCCCGTGAGGATACCCTTTTGTAGCCCTCACCGCCTTTAGAATTTGACGTTAACCGTCATTACCGTCCGAGCTTCATAAGAATAATGAGTTCGACCTCTGAAGCTGGAGTACGAAATTACTTCGTTAAAGCGAGAGATTGCGATAGGATTCTGTTGTGCTCATAGTGGAAGTGAAGATGCTGAATAATGCCCTAGTAGCGAAAAAAGCAAAGAAATCCGTCAAAAACGCGCAAAATGGGACCACTTCCTCTGCCCGTTGACCTCCGATAATGGACGAGTTGGCAACCAACTAAGAGGTCGTCGGCACTCGTTAAACCATAGCTGCCATCATACCACCAGAGATCATACCTTGATTGATATAGCATTCCATGAGAAAAAAATTGGATACGCGCTCGAAGTGGCATACCTTATCAGAATGATAATCGAACAGCGATCTGCTGAGGGGCGGAGCACAGGCGGAGGCGGAGCTCAGAAAGGATTGGCAGCCCCAGGGCGCTGCAACGAGCGCACCTTTAGTCACAAAAAGGCCACATCTCGATTCCTTTGGGCTCTAGCTACTGCTTGAAGTGCTGCTCGTTCTTCCATGCTGCACAGAAATTTTATCGTAATTTCTCGCTTTAAATTGACTGTTATAGCTATTCAAATTGAGGAAAAAAATAAAAAAAAAATGCAGCTCTGCCTATGCAAAATTCCTTTCGGCCAGCGTTCTAGATAACACCGTAGAAGTCCACAATGCGTGGGGAACCTATTTAGCACGACCTTAGCGCATTTTTCGGGCGGATCTCATTGTCAGCCGTGGTGTTAACATTCGGTATGGCGTTTTACCCTACTTCCTTTCTGAATCTGGCGGGAGGTTGACTTTTGTTCTGCCACCTCTCCTTTGTATAGTGGTACAACCAAAGTACGGTAATAGGAAGCACCAAACCTTACTTTTGATAGCTGCATAGTTATCCACTTACCCAACAATCCGAGTCCGACAATAACCACTGTGTGTATGGAGGGTCTCTTCCATTTTACATATAGGGGCTATAGGAAAAAGGGGAGTGAAATAAAGAGATGGAACAGGTCGCCACATTGCGCTCCTCCCCTGCTGTTTGTAACTTACTAAGGAAGCTGTGGGCCACTGGACCACGATGAGGGTTTGCAAATAGTGATATTGAGTTCAGCGTTCATTAGTTTACCTACGACATCGGTTTTGCTCGTGCACAAATCTGTGAAAAAACTTCGTTGAAGGCTGTTTCATTTCAGAATGAAGAAGTGCTTACGCGTGTCGCTCGCTGGAGCTCTGCCACGATCACGGCTCATATCGACTAGTCACTCGAGATAAACTGGAACCGAGTATGTGGATCAACCAATACGTGATTAGACATTATCGACCGACAAATATGACGAATAAAATGTGTGCTAAAAGGTAACTGCTGAATTTTATGGATTTTTCTTGCGTTTCTCGATTGGGATACGAGATGTTCGAAAAGTTCCCTGGGGAAAGCAGCGTTTTTATATCAGAACAGGTTATGTGAAGCAATTCAAGAATGGAAACTGTGGATACCGGAAATGGAAAAGAAGGCAAAGCAAACGCCATAAAAAGGACTCACTCTCTTCCCACTTGAGATGAGAGACTGGCATTGGACGAGTTGTCTGAACACGCTCGCTCCATGCCTCCACTAACCCTCGCGTATTTACATATATCAGCCGATATGTCGTAATCCACGTTGCATGTTGTGAGTGTGCGCACGTATCCCGTCCATGCAACTTTTTACCAGGCTCTTCAAATTGCTCTGTGATAGAAACATCACCCGGTTGAAGACCATGGGTGCAACCACACATATCCAATCCTTGTCGGCGGTTTGCTACTCTCTCTCCAAGCAACAGTCCATGGAGGGTGGGCCTGGTGAAACGGATGCCATCGCCCTCGCGGCGATTCCCACTTCGGAACTGCTTGGCGCCCCGTAGTGCCAAGACGTAAAGACTGTGGACTGAACAAAACTCAGCCATGAGGTTTTTATTTTTTTGGTTTGGAAAGCCGCTAAGGCGAGAGCCTCGATGTGGGGTGGTCGTAAATCGCCGAGGGGACCTGCAAAGTTGTTTGCTGACCAGCCCACCTTGCTGGGACTGGTTGCTTTAACGCTGAGTGTGTCGCTACGACTTTGCCGCGATTATCCATTGGAATAGCGCGTCTGGTTCCATTCGCGAGAGCACGTCTCGCGTTCCTCCGCTCAGGTATTTCAGCCACATTTTTCACTTTTTACGGCTTTAAACAGAAGCATGCAACCCATTTGATCCTCTTTCCGGTCATATTAAAATAGTAATTTATTGCCCTTTATCCCTTTTGAACACATCATTTCAGCGTTTTCCATTGGACTAATGAGACTATTAATATTTGGAGTCATCTACTCGGTTTTATATACTTTACCTATTGTCAATATGAAATGAACGCGTATCGTATCCCGCTGATGGGCGGTCATTTTCAAGATCATCTTGTCATATCACTCTCGATATTTGGAGCTCAGGTATCAAATTTCGATTCCATTTGACAAATCTGACTTCCGTTTTTGAATAATATTTGAAACAGGCACAAAAGGGTTGGATGCTCCCCAATCTTTTTTGAAGCCTGTGTGTTTTTAGATCATACGTATGAACGATGTACGTTGAGCAGGTGGTGTCAGTGATCAGTCGGGAAAAATGCAAAGAAAAAATATAAAAAAAAACCTCGTGGTGGAAGAAAACAGAAACACAATTGTGCCGTGGAAACTTCTCGTGGTGGAAGAAAACAAAAACAATTTGCCGTGGATAACTTTTAGGTTAAGGGCTATACTTTCTTTTTATACGCTAGCTTCCGACTTTGGCGCCTCTGTCAGAGCCGTGAACTCCATAGCAGATTTCTGCTTGCAAACATCAAGCGATCCTGATTAACCCTACTTGTTCGAGGGTCCACAGGTGGTCGCACTAATAGGACATACGTACCGTGGTCGTAGTGAATGCTACCCCATTACCGCTCACTTCAAAGATTTGACTTCTGATCTTTCTGGTTCAATATAGCGCAGTGAGTAGAGGCGGCCTAACACTCTCTGCAAGGTCTGTAAGACCGAGCTGCTTACTCCGGCTATAATCTGAGTATCGCCAATGAGCGGTGACGTCTCCTCTCACGTGTTTAGCCGCATGGGGAGATCATCGAATGAAACTGAACACGCCTCTTCCGCTAGCGAACGCAGCCATGAAACTCGGTCAATTGAACGAAGTGATCAACAGAAAGCGGACCGATCAGTTTGATTGATAAGCCTTCCCGTTCAGGGGGCGGAAGTGGTGTAGTGACAAGTGGCGCGCTTACCACGCGAGCGGTCCGGGATCAAATCCTGGGTCGTGAGTCGCCCGGGCCAACCAAGCCTTCCATCCCTCCGGGGTCGGTTAATTGGTACCAGACTTGTCTGGGAGGATAAAAAACACTGACTTGAACATCGGCTGGCCCCCGCAAGTCATTGTATAGGCCACATCGCATTCAAATGCCACTGCGAATGTACAAATGGAAGTAGAATGCGTGCCGCATCCCAAAAAGGGATTGATCAACGGCAAATGCTTTATCCTTTTATCCTTTATCCGTCCAGGTATATCAACAATGGGATAAAATACATTGTGCTCATGATCTGTTCTTTTTAGGCTGGGCCCGGGCCGCGCTTCTCCATTCAGTTGTAGTTCAACTTTGACGCAGAATCTAACTTTAAAGACTTTCTGAAAAGCCAGTCGATTAGGAACAGTCTGTCGAGCGTGAGCATGTCCTCCATTTGAAAACGAATCGCTGCCTAGCCAGAACAAACACGGCACTCAAGGTATGGGAACCATGCTTGGTAGATCAGATGAGAAATGATCTTCAAAAATTCCCTTGACCATGAGACAAGCGGAATGTTCACAAATTCATTAACACGTTGACGACATCGCGCGTTTTGGCATTTTTGGCCGCGTGGGACCAGAGCGGTTCTGCGAGCGCCGCCGCCTCACAACAAATCTGTGGATTTTGAGCTTTAAATACGCAATACTTCGATGCGACAAAATGTTTTCACTGATATTCGGTGTGTCAAACTTATTGGAAGGTACACATGTGAAAGTGCGGTCGAATGATGTGTTACAGCATTGAAAAGGCAAGTTTCACTTACTTTTGCTTTAGTGATTTCAAAATTATTTTGGACGTGGTTGTTTCGGTAAAAACACATATCTTGCCACACGAGTACTACTCACTTCTAAATTCTTTTTTATCTACATGTTCGTGTTAATGAAGAGAAAATGAGGAATGAACTGAACGGATATTTATTTTCGTCCGGTCCGAAAAACCTCTGCCAAACTAAAGAATATTTGGTCATTCTATAAGCCGCGTGGTTCTTGGTTATGTTGTGGTATGGCCTAAAAAATGAACACAAAAAACCTGGGAAGAAATGGCGCGTTCAAGAAAAAACTGAATGTAAAGGGTGTGGCAACTATAGTTGCCACAATGTCCATTGCGGCGTGCAAAACGCGGCAAACCTAGTTGCCGCGCTGTCGTCAAGGTGTTAAAGCCGCCCCAGGAAACTCAGATTTTCCTTAGTCATTCCTCTCAGCATTTCGTTTGGCTGCTCGCCTGAAGGCTTTATGTAAGCGTCACCAGCCTTCATAGCATCACAAATTATGTTGTATTTATATCACCATAGCTTTACAGCGCAGTGTAATCTGGCCAAGAGAACCAATACAAGAAAGATCTAGATCATTAGGAGATATTGAGTCATCACCCGGCATTGCGCTCGGGAGCGGCTTAAAATCTGGTTTTAGAGCTGATGGATAGACTTGTTCTAAGACTCCATAAAGTAGGAAACGTTCTGGGGTCGGATGCAGTAAACAATCCGAAGGGACTTGTGAAACATAGCCGGCTCCCGTCGGAACCGGCGCCCTTCCAACGTGCAGAGCAATTCATGTTTGCACGCCTGCACCTCAGCTTGTGCTCTCTTTATAATCGTCAAGGGTTAAAACGCTCAATAACATCATCAAGTATTGGGTCACGCCTTAGGCTGCCTAATGTGCCACCTAGTGGGAAGGATGAGCTGGGTGAGGGTTGCTTGAGAGGTAAGGCTAAGTAGGTGTAGCAGGCAGCAGATAAAGTTCAATGTTCGAAGGATCAAGAACGGTTTCTTCGGCAGGGCTATTGGCTCAGATGGCCTTTAGAAAGGAGAAATTGACGGCTCCAATGGAATGATATCTTGCCAATGCAATGCGAGTCGCTGGCCTCGCTCAGCATGAAATTTCTGACAAAAATTTCGGGGAGGAGAAACCTGGGGGAAATTTTCCAATTTGTCGCACTTCTGAGTTTTCTCTTTTTTATACGGGGGAAGGCAAAAACAAATTTGCCCATGACGTATGGCAACGTTTCGTAACGAAGAGTACCGCCGCTGATCAAAATCTTACAGCAAAATTTCTGAAATATCCCTCCATTAGTTAAGGAAGCCTCTGTTCCCTGCCACACCATGTTCACAATATGGAAGTTATCTGTCATCCTTCTGTAGACATCAACAAGATGAACCGTAAATGCTAAACCTGGGGCACCTACCCTCCCCTTCAAAAAGCCAGAAAGTGTCGGGTGCAGACCAAACACCACAACTGACGACGGCCTCCAAGTAAATCTGGTTAGTAGTGGTTCATAGTGATAGCTGATTTTTAGTAAATGATAGTTGTAATTAGTGTCAACTGATCGAATACAACTGTAACAGGTTAATCATTTCATTGGCAAAAAACATTTGCATTTTCTGGAGGCCGTCGTCACTTGTGGTGTTGGTCTGCACCCGACACTTTCTGGCTTTGAAGGGAGGGTACCAAACTCGATTCATTGGTGCAGGATTCGCTTAGCTGCATGTTGAAGGAATCTTCCGCAGAAAGTTCTTGCCTTTTTCTCACAACATAATAAGTGAGTTGTGACTCTCGCTGAAGACAATGTCCAAGTTTACGCAAGAAGATTCAGTCTCCGGAAAGAGACAAACCTCCGAAATCACACTCTATGGACGGTCGCGGGTAGATGGTCAGGCGGAGATATCGGAACGCCAAAGCAAGTGCGCCTTGAGGCGCCGCGTATCAGATGACGCATTAATATGCCGATTAAAGGCAAGAATCAAGTTGTAGATTGATGGCGGTAGTTCCAACTTCACTCTGTGTAGGGATATGGGAGGTGGACCCCGGGCAGCAAAAAGGTAAGAGAAATCTAATCCAGGAATACGAGCTTTTTGGCCCATGCGATGAGAAGTTCAAGACAGTTAGGGAGATGGAGCGACTGCGAGCATTGGGAGTTGCCAGACAGGTCGTGAGAAGAGGAGCATAGCACGTGGCAGACGCAGACAAGACATCGACGGTGCACGGGACCAAGTTAAGGAGGAATTCACGATTAGAATGGAGGTCGAGGAAGAAGTAATTCACCTAGTTGAGGACCCACGGACCTCCTGAGGGTGCGAACTGATGCGCAATTCGCATCGAAAAATTTGACCTCGGCGACCTATTATGCCTCAAAGTTGGCGGGTCTGGCGATCTCCGCCCACCGACCAGCTGATCACTCGCCGCAGATCTATACGTGGGATTGATTAGATAGCAGAGAGAGCGTGATGTTGAGGAGGGCACAGCGATAAGAGTCGCATCAATGCGCAAATCAGCGGGGAAGGAAGGGGTCCCATTTCTCGGGTTCTGGGCCGTTTCTCATGGTTCTTCCTTCTTTCGTGTGTGTACCCATCAACGCATCCCTGAGTTGATTGGAATGGCGTTCCTTTCCAGCGCGAACTCGTGCTTTAAGTTTGGTGCGAGTTGTAAAAGTTCATGGCGCCTCGGTCCTAGTGACGCGTTTCGATGTAGAAAGGTGGTGCTACCTTTGCACTCGCGTACCTATCACCTCTATCCATGGTAGGGGCTTCTAAGCTGGGTCTGAGCCCGAACTCTGCTTTTCAAGCGTCCAAATTCGGAGAACAGAGCCAGAACGATTGAAGGGGTAGGAAGCAGGAGAAAAGAAAATGTATTCCCATAAGTGTGGAAGAGGCCCAAAGATGATTTCCAGTCAAGGCTACCGCAAACCAAGTGAAATCGATTCTCGTCGCACATGTGAGAGTTTAAGGCAAGAATTGACGGCGGTGAAATGATGAGATGACAGTGCATGTTGAATTGAGATCGATTATGATTTTCACGTTTTTACCTTTCAATAGATTCGAGTTCTTCAAGACTTACTGTTGTCGCACCTGGCTTGGTCCTAGCAAGACGTGATCAGTCAAGTTTGAAATTTGGAAGACTGCCTTTTTTGTCCCTCACTCAAAACATGGATTGAAGGCATATTCAAAGGAGGATGAAGCATTGAATTGTTTATAGTGCATAATTGATTAAAAGACTGAGTGTCTTCCGAGAAAGTAGTGCAGAAAACTTCCACCTCTCGAATCCTTGTCAATTTCAGGGTCGGTGTATGTTGTTTTCGGCCGCTTATCACACTTTCTGTTGTGCAAATGAGAAGAAGCGTCAAAAATTCCTGAAACTTGACATTTTTGGAATCTCCGCTGGTCTACTCGGAGATGTACTTGTCCGGGAATTTACACAGCATTCTTCTGCTTTCAGGTACGAATAAATTCCCTTAAAGCAGAACGATGAGTTTGGACTGGGTTCATAGTGGAAGTGGAGATGCTGAATAATGCCCCAGTGGCGAAAAAAGCAAAGAAATCCGTCAAGAAGGCGCAAAATGGGACCCCTTTCTTTGCCCGTTGACCTCCGATAATGGACGAGCTAGCAACCAATTAGGAGGTCGTTTGCACATGTTATGCTGATAGCCTCTATCATTTCAGCAAGCATCATGCTTTGATTGATCACGCATCCCATGAAAAGTTATAGGATACACTCTGGAAGTGGAATATCTCGTCACATTGGCAATCGAAGGGCGCTGCTGCTGGGGGCGGAGCACAGACCGTGGCGGGGCTCAGAAAGGAATGGCAAGCCTTGTACGCTGCAACTAGCGCACCTTTGACCACAAAAACGCAACATTTCGTTTCCTTGGGCCCCTGACTACTGCTTCCAATGGTGCATGTACTTCCACGCTGCATACGCACTTTATCGTAATCTCTCGCTTTAAGGAATCGTGAAAATGCCAACCCGGAGCTGAAAAAAGAACATTACTTAACAAACGAATGCCCTTATGGTCTGTAGATAGATTACTGAATGTAGGATGCTCCACCGTGGCTGTATCAGAGCGATCAAAGTGCACCCACCATTACTGTATAGAACCAACCTCGCATAACACCTAATTCCGGTGATGAACCCTAGCCATTTCACATAAAATTACCTCTGCGTCAGCAGTACTGCCACAAAACCATATTTGATATCATTCACCCAAGATACGTATTTTGGCCATACGTAAGTTCCGTGCCGTGTTACGGGAAAGTGAAGATTCATTTTAGCGGTGGCGTTACCTGACGTTACCTTGTCACGACATCTGTTACCACCAAATTTGGTGTAAAACTTCCAGATAGGGGTTATATGGTGATTACGAAAATAGCATTCGTTTTTGGCATGAGCGTTATTCAACGAATATCACCCGATCTATCCAGTAGGAGAGCGCAGACGAGCAGAAAATAGGCGTCGTATGACGCTGGCGCCACGAATGAATATCATAATTGTAATCAGCACACCAGATATCAGAAATGTACACCAAGGATGGTTGTAAACAACTGTGGTGACAAGGCGACGCCAATCTAGCGCCAGGTGGCGCCACCGCTAAAAATAAATGTTATTTTCGTAATCCATCCCTATGGCCATAGTAACGGAAGTCTGTAGAGGTACGCAGGTACACTGCACGGGCAGAGATGGCAGACAGATTTACGTGAAATTGGCTAGAGCTTTTCTACCGGAAATCAGGGTAAACATTCCGGAGGACACGGGAGAGAACAATGTCATTGCAGGATCACCTAGAGACTTACGTCTATATGCTGCTGTCGATCTTCCTCATCACCGCTTATGTGCCGACACGTGAAGATTTCTTCGATAGAAAGATAGTCGGTTCTCGAATTGGCTACTTACATATTATCTACACATCAATCATCATTTTCGGATTCTGCCCAACCACCCATTGGGTCTACTTACATGGTGGTCTGGCCAATGGTCATGTGGCTGTGAGTTTCTTTTTCAAATAATATGTAGCTCATTTCAAAATTTGGAGTCTAATGCGATGAGAGGAAGAGGCTGCGATACGTCAACTGCGCATCTCGGCAATATGTGTTACTCTTTCAAGAATGCCTGTCTATTTTGGAAACTAGCTGAAGACACTATCGCAGTATATGGGCGGCCTCCTCCTAGGACTAAGCCTAGGAGGAGGCAGGAGCTCAAGGAAAATGAAAATGGCTCACGGGCGTTGGCGTCCTTCCGTCCCCCCGCCTGAGGCTTCTTCCCGTTTCAACAAAAAAGACATGTTTCGAATTTATTGCCATCACAATGCCCCCACATAATGCGATAGCGCCCTAGCTAAATGTGTAACTTTCAGAACTGGTTGATCGATATATTCATACTTTACGGCTTGATAGCATTAGCTTTCTTCTTCTATGTGACCCTCATTCCGGAACGCCTTTCTCCGGGTGAGTCTTTTGTTATACACACCTTTTTCAGTGAATAGGGAATTTGGATAACAACCTACATATGCTCCTTTCAAAAAAACGAGAAGAGCGTCGGGTGCAGACCATACACCACAAGTGACGACGGCCTCCACAAAATGTAAATGTTTTCTGCCAATGAAATGATTAGCCTGTTGCAGTTGTATTCTATCAGTTGTCACTAATTACAACTATCATTTACCAAAAATCAGCTATCACTATGAACCACTACTAACCAGATTTACTTGGAGGCCGTCGTCACTTGTGGTGTATGGTCTGCACCCGACGCTCTTCTCGTTTTTGAAAAGAGGGTACTTCGTCGACTTACTTAAAGATAGTGTTATACATATACTTACATGAGCAATGCTTTGGGGCAATTTGATTTCGCAACTTTGGTCCATATCAGAAGTATTTCAGTCTTTCTGTAGTGCCAACTGGGAGCGCGCTAACTTAGCTTTTTTGGTGTTTCTCACGAGTGTACAAACTCCGCCTTCATGAGCAAACCCCGCCCCTTCACTCTGATATTATGCGATGTGAGAACGCCCAATATTTAGGTTCGTTCGACCTCGTTGGATGTTCGCACCAGTGGTGGCACATATTCATTTTATCAGCGATGGTGTTCTGGCAACGTGCAGGTGTCGATCTTGCTTGCATTCTATCGTATGAACGAGTCGTCATGTCGTGATACCATGGCACCGCTACCATCAAACTCGTCCACTGTATACTTGTAGTAAGTTAAGAGAAAGTTGAATAGAATGTCTTCATATTAATTTATTGATTTCGATTCTCTTTTGGTATCCAGTCTTGTGATAATAGATCTGATATTAATTATTGAAAGTGTGTGCCGTTCGTTTCTGGATTCCTCGAATCGTTTTTGTTCACAGTGCCAGGGGCCGGGAGCAGCAGCAAGCTTCCACACGGGATGGGTCTCAAAAACTCTGCATATCTGACACGGTCCCTATTCTGATATTTTAGCTTTAAGCTTTGTTTCGTGGGCAGTAGTTGCATTGAATGACTCCCAGGTTCTGGTGGGACGCATTCCCCGCGCAAAGTCCGCGGGATTTACTGCGCCCAGGGCACCACATGATCTTATGACGGTTTGTGTTGTGCAATAAATGAGGCACGAATCTGCTCGCGATTGGGCTGCAATGTACTGGTGGCTTTATACAACATAGGGGTGATTCTGCTTTTATTTTTGAAGAGGAATTGCTATGTGTAATTAATGAAGCATAGCGCCATTTGTAGATTAAGAAGATCGCAATATGACGTGAGCGGACTCGTATGGAGTTGTAGGCTCTTGTGGTTCGGGGGAATACAGTGGTAGAATGTTTATTGTCTAGCTTGGATTCTGGGCGTGCCTCTCAGTCTCAAACGAGGCCGCGCCTGTGGTATCATTTGAGTGACATTTATGTGCTCAAGGAGTGGTGAGGTGTTGAGATGAGTGCGTAGGTGAGATTAGGTGGGAAGGTTCTGGTGGCATGCCAGAACAAGCATAATAAAAAAACAAGTACCCTATTTTCCGGTGTATAAGCCCCGCTAGTATCATGTAAAAACACCTCCACTGGTGCAGTGTACTTGAGTACATCTAGAGTCAACCGTAACATGCCCATAGGGGTAATTCGATATGCTGATCACGAAAACGACATTCGTTTTTAGCGGTGGCGGCATCTGGCGCCAGTTGGCGCCACCTTGTCACGACCCTTGTTTTCGCCAAAATCGGGTGTAAACTTCGTATAAGGGGATGATTTGGCGAAAACGCTCAATAGAAGTATTATTTTTTCGAGAGGGCCCCTTTGACTTTTATTGAAGGTATGTCATTCTTCGTGTGTTTTGCGTGACGAGGAGCACTGATGGGAATTGGGTGTTGATTACGTTGTTTATTTGTCAAATCGGAACTCGGTATAGACGACACAGACGCAGGAGTACAACCTTGACGATGCTAGGCGCAGAGTATAAGTGCTTTCGATCAACAGACGATGCGCCACACCGTTGCGCAGTTTTATTAGGCATGAATGTCTATTCGATAATCAGGGGCCCAAATCACCGTATACTGAGTTACACCCCGCGATTTTGAGACATGGGAAGTTTCTTAATTGCGCTCGTTGAGGTGGCGCCAAATCTGGCGCCGTGCGCCAGCGTGGGAAAACTTTTGAAAACTTGGGCCATTTTGTCTTTCGAGCTCGGTTTGGTTCTTCCGCCAATACCAGAGGCGATTCGACTTACCTCTCTAAGCAAAATTTGATCGGTGGTTTCTAAGGTGTACAAAAAAGTTTTTTTTTTTTTTTTTTACCCCCAACGTTTTTTCTGGTTGTGAGGATGATGGTTCCGACGGTGGTGGGCTTTATGCGAACTGTGAATCGGCGCGGCTATATTAGCACTTCAGGAGAATTTATTGACCTGCGTGCACACCTCTGCCGCAAAGCAGGTATTGTATTGTGTATCTCAGACGACAAACGGTTTTGTTTGACGTTTGACTGCAGTGGTTGCGACGGCTGAGCGGAGAAGCTCGCTTGGGGACGTCATTGGTGAAAAGGCGTCGGTAGGTGGCTTGACATGTTTGGTGGGGGTCAGAAAGTGATAAGGACTGATAATGGCATAAGAACATAAAATAGCTTGAAACCAAATACTAGCTAAGAACCCAAACTCATTTCATTTCTTCTTCATTGCGTATCATCTTCTCGAAATCCATTCGACCGCTACTCTTTCCAAAGTTCTTAGGTGTAGCGAATCGCTACCTTATTCATCGATTAGATTCGTTTGTGTTTCATTAACCAACCTAACGTCAGGTAGGAGACGGCCATGGCGATCAGGGTGGTCACATATCGACCACCCTGATCGAGCGGGAAAATAGGGGTATAAAAGGCCGCTCGGAGGTCTCAGGACTTCAGTACATCATATTCTTCGAGGAGTTGGGTCGCCACCCAATACGTCTGCCATCGCCAGGACTGCGCCAGAATCTCCGGTATTTCCTGTTGATCACTATTTCTAACTATTCAATAAAACTGTTGAATATTCCTACTTTCCAGTGAACTCCAATCAATACCCACTGCTATCAAGAGCTACTAAAACAATAGTAAACAATACCTACAAGAAATCCCGCGTGGCAAAAAAAAAAACTCTTAGCGAGCTTATCAAGCAGCGACATTAGGAATGTATTGTGGATGTTTGAAGAATTACGATAATGACCACTGGGTATTTCTATTTCAACACTATTAGCATCAAATATCATCCGACCGCTAAATTACCCTGACATTCAACGCATGGTGGTTGTTTACATACACCACTTTAGCTCTGCACTCTATCGCGCGTATCAAACCTTCAGCAAAATGGGGAGGCTATGGGAAGGTCGGCTAGCGCATTTCCCGATGCAACTCAGGTTTGCATTCTTTAGCGGTGGGACCTAACGTTCCACAGGCTATCCAGTTTCAACGAAGCCTACCGTGTTACGTGCGCGGCAGCGTGCGAAGCTAAACTGTTAATTCTTTATTCCTTGAGGAACCTGTGTCCCGCATCAAAGATGCTTTATATCGCCAGTTTGAGAACACATTTTATGCAGGCCTGCAAAAAAGCCAAATTCCGAAATTGCAAAGATGGTTAACCCATCCCTGTTTTCTTTTGCGAATGTCAAGAACGCAGTGAGCGGTAGAAAAAGATTTACCATTCAAAAGGGTTTGAACATACAATGAAGCTTGCTGCACTTTTCCTTCTGAGCAGTCTTATAAGCACAATATTCTTTCTTCGAACATGCTAGTGCGCGACATTGTTCAGGACAAAGTTTCTCGGCGTCTGAAGAAATAATCTACTAATAAGAGCTCTCCAGTACGCAACCAATGACGAAAGGGTGCAAACAAGTTTATCTGCTAAGACCCTTAGCCCATTTTAGTAATTGGCGCCCTTTGCATTGCTCAGTAACAGTTTCCTGCCGTCATGGTTTCAATACCATGGTTGAACAATGAGGAGGGGACCAGGGCTGGTAAGATCAGTGCAATGGAATGTTAAGATTTTTTTTTAGCATTTTTTGCTCTCTTTTCATAACTGGTCGATCCGGACAGCATACTTCCTTTTATTTCGGACCATTAACCCACGCCTGTTCAGTTGCAGTCTAAGCCTATAACTACGGCTGGATTCGACTGTTGGTCAAGCATCACCCGTTATCTGGATGATACTTCCTACACAAGAAACTCATTACCCCTCTAATGGCGGATGGTACAGAAAATTGGTTGATCGTGGGGAATGAATGTTGAGCTGCTGACAATAAGAGGTGTAGCATTGAAGAATGACTGGGGGGCGAGCTGGAACCAGGGCGAATATCGGTCGAGGATTCCACAACGGCTTGTCGAGGATTTTTGCCTGATCAGTTACGCTCTCCCGCGCCGACATTCACACTCGCCATGCGCGAGCCGTCTGTGCTCTCCGCGCGTACGTTCACTCTCGGCACTACTCTCGCACAGTACAGAGCCATGGTCGGATTCCTCGACCGTTATTCGCCCTGCCTGGAACCCGCAAAACAGGGCCCTCAATTCTCTCGTAAACTTCCGTATCAAGAAAGTCTGATCAGCGCTGAGGAAATCAACGTTAACGCTCTGCCCTGTCTCCTTGCTGAAACGGACACAGTCCATGTGAGAAGGACCAGCAACTGGACAGTTTGAGGGCGGACAGAGACACGACGGTGTTTATAGTAGAGGCGAGTTATGCCTTGCTACGTCGCTATCGGAGCTACCGTTGCTTCGCCGCCAGTGCGACGTCCCACCCTAATCCCCAGAGCCTTTTCAACACCTGACTTATCCTGCCGCTTGCCTTTGAGTAACTGCAACAAGCCATAGATACACCCGAGCGAGAAGGCCCGAAGATCGTGGGACCTTTAACCAAGGCTACGAACATACACTCTCAACCAGGTCAAGCGCAGCATTGGGGAAACTTCACACTTTTTTTTACGAATTTACCTCCCGGGAACGTCTCAAAAAGCCCCTTACCACCACACGTGGAGGGGTCACCCACGGATACGACCCCTTCCCCTACAACTTCAACCAGGGGTGGAGAGAAATAATCATGACTGAAGAAACGATTAATGTCCTAATTTTGCCCATTTTGCCTCTCGTTTCAAAAATTTTCACTCGCTTTCTTAGATTCTCAACCAAACTATAGATCCAATGTAGATCTAAAACTGACTGGCGAACGGAAGCGGAGGTGAATTCCTAACGTGCCTGTTCAATACGTTAGGAAGAACATTTTGAAGAACTGCCATAGCCACCTGTAAAAATACACAATAGAAAAAATGAGAATTGCTTCGAATCGATTTTATGCATGCCAGTGAATATGGTCAAATATGGCCATTGGTCTTCACTTACCAGAAGAATAACCAACGTTCGGGACATCTCCTTCAATCCTGAAGCATAAAATAATAATATAGAAAGCGGACTCATTCAACATTGGAGGCTCACTCGTTTTCTACTGACTACAGGACGGTCCAAAATTCTG